CATCATCACTATCATCCTCCCGTACTGCCGCTCTCCTCTTCACCGGGTGACGCTTTGGGGGCGTCTCCTCCCGGAGGGGGCTGAATGCCGGGGACTCTTCCCGTTGTAAAGCGGACATGCCTTCTTCTCCCAAAGACGGCTCCGCCTCATTCCCTCCTGGTCCGTCTCCGGCACGCATGACTTCATCTTCTTCGTCCTGCGCAGCGGCGACGGAAGACAAGAAACCTTTTCTCTGGCTCGCCTCACAGTCTCCTTCTGCTTGGTGGCACTTATATTCATACAGCTCAACCGCCTGTCGCAGTCCGTGTCCCATTATTTGTATTATCTTGCTGTTCTTGTAGCGGGTGAGTAATTCGGTGGCGACTAGTCAGGCCACACTATTGACCCGATCTGCCGCACCCTCACCTCGAAGGCTGGAGATGCAGCTATCCATTAAGCCGGCTCTCTCCTCGTCGTCCTCTACATCATCAAGAGGATTATACCTCTCTTCCTTCACCGGTGCGAAGACTCCACCATCCGCAAGGTTCTTCTCCATCATTCCCAACACCGTCAGTACAGAACTCCGGAAGCCATCCGGGTTTCTGAACCTCCTGAGTGGGAAACAATGACTCGTGACTTCCACCGAGGTCATACGCTGGTGCAGGTGCATCCAGCGGCCATATTCCGACCGCGTCAACGGAATTCCGTCGCAGAAGCGATCCCGAATGTCCGCCCAGTCTTCGATCATCTCTGCAGAGATCGTCAGATCACCAGCAGTTACCTCAGTGACCCGAAAGTCACTGGAGGGTGCCTGCTTGGCACACCCTCCGACAGTTACTTGGGCGCGAACGCCCCCTAGACCCTGCCTCACCAGTCCCACGGTTTCGATGCAGTCGCTAGATGACGACCGGGTCGAGCCTGCAACAGCACTCTTCCCAGCCGGTCCTGAAGGATCCGAACCTTCTGGAACCGTAACGGTTTTTTTTACACTGGTTTCCTTCCATGATTGGTTTTTACGGGTGTCCTTCCCTGCGTTTTACCTACCGCCAGGGGATTTGTTTTCGGTGTTACCTTCACCTAGGTGATTGCCTTACCAGGCTATCGGGCCCACCCGCCCGTTATGAAATTACCCTCGATCGCTACCGCTTATTCGTCCACTCTAGGAGTGGTTTATATCACGGCTACCCTGCATATCTGCAGGGTTAACGAGCGAACGAGGGGCTCGCTGTCCGCGACCGCTTATTCGTCAGTCCAAATTAATGGACTGCTTATTTCGCGGCTAACCTGCATATCTGCAGGCCGTTCCTCTATCCGCAACTTGAGGACGCGCCCGATTCCCTGAGCTAGGGAAACTGCGCCCGTGCTGACGTTTCGTAGCCCCGTAGAGCCCGATCACGCCGACACTGTAGAGCAGCGCAACGGGCTAAAGAGTGCCCATCAAGGATGGACCCAACCCATCGCGAAGTCCTGCCCCCACCTCCGCGTGGTGCAGCCCGGGCAACGGACCCACCAGTGGGGTCCGGCTAACGGGGGAGGCAGCACCGCGCTGTGATCCGGCCCGGATTAAGTTCGGGCCGAAGCACAGCGCGGTAGCAGAAGTGTTAGAAAGCGACGTAGGCCAACTCGAAGCAATGCTTAACGGCAGTCCCGGGGCGGTCTGCAAGAAGTCGGCTGTAAGGAAAAAAAAAAAAAAAGGGTGGAGAGAGCGACGGCGGTTCCCAAGGCGGAAGTCCCTGGTGGGCCCAACCGTCCCGAAGCCCGACTGCCGCCCAGCTTAGGGCAAAAGTTCCGAAGACGTAGGCGGTGGTGATTGGATCACTCAAGGAGGGGTAATGATAAGCCGCGGTCATAAAGATCGCGATGGCTGCCGTTGACCTCAAAGTCCTTAGGGTCCAATTGGCGGGCACAAGGCGGACTCGTACGGGAGCAGTCTTGCTAGAGGTCTGAGGATCGGGCTGAGAGCCTGAAGGAGCATACTCCTGGACGTGGAGGAATGGACGGAGGAGGACGACGTGCAGAGTGCACTGCTGAACGCCCTCCGCCGTCCAGAGGACAAGGTGTCGCCGAAAATCGGGCCTGTCGTGGTCCGTGCGAACTCTGGCGGCAAAGGGCGTTACGCCCGGGTGGAGGTGCCGGCAAGGCTGGCCCCCCGCCTCGCAGATCTCTCCTGTATCCGTGTGGGATGGGTCACCTGTAGGCTGAGGATTCTTGGAGACAAAGGTCCGAGGTGCTACAGGTGCCTGGAACATGGGCACGTGGCCCAGACCTGCAAGGGCCCGAACAAGTCCAAGGGGTGCTTCTCCTGTAAAGAGGAGGGCCATGACGCATTCGAACCGTTGGCCGCGAGATCCGGAATCCCCTGAGGTCGGTCCGCAAAGAGCTGAAGCTCGTCATCAGGCGGGCCGACCACGACCCGTGAGGGAAATCTTATCGGGCCGTTATACGGAAGCTCCGCAGTCCACCGGCTTCCGGTCAGCTGGAGACGGAAGTGCTGGAAAGGGCGGTAGACATGCTCTTTCCGACACATCCGCCCCTGCCTCCCCCGGTGAGATGACTTAGCGTCTCACCCAAGTGATGTCCAGCGACGGCTGCTTTAACGAGTAACTTGCACCGTATTCGCAAAGCAGCCGCACCGACGTACGACCACTGTTCGGATCGCCCGGGAGAGGCTGATAGCGCTCTGCACACCCTCTTCCGGTGCGAGGCGTGGGCCCAGGAACGGGACTCTTTGGAGTCTCGACTAGGATCTACGCTCCGAGTCGCGTCCCTGGTGGACCTGATGTTGGGAAGCCGGGAGGCGTGAAGGCTCGTCCAGGCGTTCGCCGAATCCATCTTGAAAAAAAAGGAGGAAGCTGAACGCTTGAGACAGAGGCAGCCGCGCTGCCCGGTACAGGAGGACCTAAGGCGCTGGTTTAGGCCGGCGCCTTAGGTATTTTGTGTTTAATGTTATGTGTTGTGAGTTATTTTTGCCCTCCTCGCATTGAACGGGGGAGGTCACACCACGTTGTGAATCAGCTCTTGATTAATTTCGGGCTGATTCACAACGTGGTGGTGTGAGTTTTAAAGGCGGCGTGGGCCGCCCTGAAGTAATACCTAATGGTAGTTCCAGGGCGGCCTACAACTAAGCCGGTCGTGAAAAAAAAAATATCTTATACTTTACTCAACATTGCTGCGATATCACTGTGCCGCGACCCCCCTGTGCAGGGTTTTTTTAAAATGACTATACACATAATTAATTAGATTTTTAATATATTATGAAAATTAGAATAACTGTTCAATAACAACTTTGAGGCCAGTATTTTGGAAGTTATTGACAATTTTATACCTAGATGGTAGAAATGATTGGTAATAAAAATAACAACTGCATCTCACTTCCATCCTTCATTATTATATGATAATAATTTCGAAAATGCTGCCCTATAAGTTGTTTTAGATCAGTAATTTACATAATTTAATAATTATACTGCACAAAATTTTCTGCTCCAAATAATATTATAATAGATTTCAAATAGAATTTCATTGCTGATTTCAATTCTAGTTTTTTGAGATAACTGTTAATTAAGGGATGTAAAATGTAGCGTCAATATAAATAAGCATTTTGATGGAACTTAAAAAAGAAACTGTGTGTTAAAAATTGTCTTATCAAATCTAATTCGACAATATATACCTTAAAAAATAGGTTAAACATGACATAACCTACACATTTCGAATTAAAACTTTGATTATTTTTACCATATTAAAATTAAAAATCAATTTTTAAATGTACATACTCGTTTTAACACACTTATATTAGTTTCACGTTCCGGGATTAAGTAATTTGCGCGCCTGCTGCTGTCCTTGGATGTGGTAGCCGTTTCTCTGACTCCCTCTCCAGAATCGAACCCTGATTTCCCGTTACCCGTTACAACCATGATATTGATATTAACTACTATCATAACATGAAACTAAAAAGTGAAAAATAAATATAGTTAAAAAAAAATAAAAAAACACGCTTTTATAGCATATCGAACTATAAAGTTAAAAATAATTTTTAAAATAAGCGTAAAACAATAATGAACGAAAAGTACTAGTATTTTATAGCATTTTAAAGTAAAAAATGTAAAATATAAAATAGAGAATTTTCACACAAAAATAACATTTGGTAACTATTTTTACCGTGAATACAAAATAAAGTCCGGAATTTTTTTTTTCCATAATAAAATATGTTACATTATCTTTAATTTAAGATATGTATAAAAGTGTCATACTTTCCCGAATACTTTCAATATTTAAGTTGAAAAAGTTGTCATTAGGAATCCCCTCAGTAGGCAGGTAAAGGGTCAGATTTATAAAATAAATATACCAAATGATATGTAAAGACATCTTGCATCTATAAAAAAAAAAATTATATTGATATGTTCATTTTTGAAAAAGTTACGCCAGTTTTAAGTAAAAAAAATTTTGAAATTTAGCGATTTTAATATTTGTAATTTTTTTAGAGATTTCTCCCAATTACGGGGAAAGAGGAAAATTTTTTCAATTTTTGATGGTAATGTCTTCGACTAGATATAATTTGTGATCTTTTGACGTATCGTTGAAAGAAATCGGTTTGGTGAGAACTGAAAAAAGTGGTGACACACAAAAAAAAAAAAAAAAGCTTTGATGGAAATCTATAGATAGTATTTAATTCTAATAAATTAGTGGATAATTAAAAAAATAACATCAACTCCTATTTTGTTAAATATATCTTGATTAGCAGTTCTTTTGATTTAAAAGTATAATATATGAATAAATACTAATTATAGTAATTAAATTTATATTCAATAATTTAATAATGTAGTGCTATTCAAAGCTACCTGGATCTTGTTTTCGACAGCCATCTTTGGAAACATTGTTCTCATGTCTTTGTGTTCAGTTAATCACTACCAGAGACAGATAACAATAATCCCCGACCTAAATGCGGCTCGGGTCGTGTTATGCAGTTACACGCACCATCTTTAAATGATATTGAAAATAAATGTTGAAATAAAATAAATTTTTAGGTCTTGATCCTGCTGAAGTATTATTTTCGAATGCTGGTCCTGATCAACGTCTTGATTATAGTCAAGCTAAATTAGTTGAAGTAGTACATACATCTGGTGGATTCCTCGGATTTAAAAAAAGATTAGGTCACCGAGATTTTTATCCAAATGGAGGTAATTGGCCTCAACCGGGATGTGTAATTGATTATGCTGGTATGAAACTATTTTTATTTTTTACAACTAATTGTGACTAATAGTAAAAATCTAACTTTATAATACTTTTTATTAAAAGCGGTCTGTAGCCATCGAAGGGCATACTACTACTATAGTGAAGCTATAAATCGTAGTGATGCATTTGTTGCATTACCTTGTGAATCTTATGAAAATTTTAAGAATGGATTATGTTCAAACAATACAGAACTATCCGTTCAATTGGGTAAATCACCATATGATAAATTGTAAGTTTGTTATGCTAAAAAATGAATTAAAACAAAACTTAATACAATCAACTGGTATGTTAATAATTTATTAGCATTTATATAGCTGATGAATAACATAATTATAATATACTTTTGGGAGAAAGGAATAAAGTGTTTGATACCAGCCGGACAACTTGTGCGGTAGCTGTTTCACCAGTCATGTGTACAGGTCTATCCAACGCTTGTAGTGTCGACGATGTAGGGACATCACCACTTAACTCTAGGCTGGACTCATGTATAAGGGAGAAAGATAGATACATAGTAAGAATTAGTACATGGAATGTCGAAAATTAACTGTTAGAAGTAGAGAATTAGTAGAAATATTGAAGAAGAGAAAAGTTAATATTTGTTTTGTGCAAGAAAAATCACTAGAAAAATATAAGGAGTGGTATACCATGTTATGCATTAAGAGATTTCAATGAGGCTAAGAAGTAAGTTCTTTAAGACTGTAGTGAAACCAGCCACGATGTATGTTTTAGAATTTTGGGTGGTTAACAAGAAAATATAGAAGAGAATGGATGTAGTACAGTTGAGAATGCATAGGATATGAGTGTAGTGACTAGAGAAGATAAGGAACGAAATTATAAGCGGGTATAGGTGGTTCGGTCATGTGATGAGAAAAGAAGAAAAGGTAGAGGATGACCAAAAAATAGACTGAGGGACGTTATTGAAAGTGATATGAGGACGTCTGAATGTGCATAGATGATTAGTCTAATATGATGCAACCAAAAAATATTATTCATTTTATAAGTAATAGTATAAATTGAAACCTGACTATTAAAATTTAAAATGACTTTATGTTATAACGTAAAGAAAGTTAGATCAGTTTTATTTTTATGTAGTTTTAAAAGAACCAATTTTCTAGGTTGTACGATAAGTGTTTATACATACAATATATTTATGAAATATCGTAAAATTTAAGAAAAGTAATAAATTATTTCTATTCATGAAAGAATTCGATAATTTTTCGAGTTTTATAATAAATATCCTATCGTTAGAACAAGTATTCATTTATTATACTATAAAAAAATTAATTATCATAATAATAATTTTTCATGTATTACATTTATAAATAATAAAACTTGTAATCATAATATGATTAAGAAAATAGAAGTTAATGTTGCTTTTGGAATAATCCAGCAACATTTGTATGAATGTGTTAAAGCTTGAATTATTTGTATATATTTGTATATATTTGTACATATTTATATTATAAGTATTGCTTGAAATTTTTATGAAAATATCTACGTTTTCAGTTATGAATTGTCGTTTCGGAATCGTAGGTTATTCCTTCTTCAGAGGATAGTTACAGTAGTTTATTTATAATTATACTGCTGCCTTAGTTTGATACGGTTTGTTTTAATAGCAGTTAAAAACTGATAACATCAATGTTGTTTATCTGTTGTTGTTTTTGTCGTGTTTTTGTCGTGTTATTGTTACTAATTGTCAGTTTGTTTTTTATATCTAGTTTTGTTGTTGTCATGCGTTCTATTAACTGAGGCCAAAAAAATAGTCAGTGTCGACACATGATCAAAGAGAGCAGGGTTTGTGTCATAAATAGTAAGAGTATATTTAGGGTTTATTTTGGAAAACGGATATACATTAAATATTTTTTAATATCCTCTCCAAACGAAAAGGAGTTGTGTCTACTTTATGTATTATATATATCCTAATTCAACCCAACCACTCATGGCACGAGAAATCCGCAAAACTTAACGTTAGTTTTGAACATAATAACATTGTAGTCGCAACATCAATTTTATTACATTAATATTATCTTTTAATTATCTGTAACTGTGGCTGTATAAATAAATTATTACAATAATTTAAGTCAACTTAAAAAACGGATGCCAATTCGGGTCGTAATGTAAGGCTGAATGGTAAATTTTTAATGATTAAAGTAAGAACAGCTATGACGCATAGATCAGGGTGTTGGACAGTTAACAAGAGAATAAAGCAGAGAATGAGTGAAATGACTAGAAAAGACAGGATGATGAACGATCATATAAGAGGGAATATAGGTGTATAAGATATACTCGTGAAATTAAAAAAATTACATTGTCTGTGGCTTTTTCTCGTTACGTAATCGTTTAAACTAAAAATAAACTACATCACGGGACTCCAAGTGAAATTTTAATACAAATTGATGATTCTTGCTAAAGTGAAATTTTTTTCCCACTTTGTGTTTAAAGTTGAGGGTGCAATATATACAAAAAATCGAGTGGCTTTTCAATTAATATGAGAATTTCGTGCGAAATACCTTGGCGATGTTTATTTTTCTTAAATAAAATTTGGTTTGGGGAACCGGAAAAATACCAATTTTGGAGATAGGAAAGGTTAGTTTTTAATTTCGATATTTTTAGGACCTACTGAATTCACTTTACTATTCATGACATTAATTAAACCAACACTCTGTATATATACATATATTTAACCATATTTATATTTGTACTGTGCTTTTACATATTTGTATTATTAAATAAACGGGCTACTGGTCTCTTTAGTATAAAGATAATACAGTGTTGACTTCTTTCGTTACTCGTTAATTTGCGCCTACAAAAATCCTACCGAATCATTTTGGATGCGTGTTAAGTATAATACATGGATAAATACTTATTTTGATGATTAAATTTAGTGTGAAATTATTATATAATAAATTAGTATTATATTTTTATGGAAAAATTACACAAAAAAATAAATAAATAAAAAAAAATTTGATTATTCTAATCCTTGTTAGTTAATAATCATTTCAATTATGAAATTAAAATTATTATTCTGTTATGAAATCATAAAAATTATTTATTTATTTTTTATTTATTAATGGATATACACCCAAATTGGGCTCAGAATAGTTTACATAATCAATACAGGTAAGATAACAGATAAGAAAACATAATTACAAATTTAAATCAGTTAATACAGAATGTTATTATACAATTATTGATAAACAATAATTGTATTGAAATTAGAAATAAAAAACGACATAAACTTATATTAATTCAATTAATTACATAAACATCTACAATTGCATTAATGATTTTAACCTGTTATTTGAAAAGTTTGAAGATTTATCCATGTTTGCAGTTGATTGCTGACGTTTCGGACTCATTGCAGAGTCCATCTTCGTAGTGATAGTTACTGCTCGGTGGCTATACTGAATATATATACATACCAGTATAGTTTCAGCCACCGAGCAGTAACTATCGCTCCGAAGATGGACTCTGCAATGAGTCCGAAACGTCAGCAATCAACTGCAAACATGGATAAATCCTCAAGCTTTTTAAATAATATGACAATCCATAAAAGTTTCAACACATTCATGATTTTAACCTGGCTAAGTTATCGTAAAAAAAGTCAAAATTATTTATCGAGTTGCCTAAAGTTAACATTCTGTTGATCGGTGCGAAAAGACTGTAGTTTTGACGGTAAGTGGATGTATAGAACATTTGTGACTCACGCGCATTAGTTTGAGGGACGTTTATAGGTATTTGTCTAAGTAACGCGGGACATATGATTGAAGTATTAAGTAATTTGTGTAACCAAGCTGTATCGTGAAACTTTCTTCTATTTTCAAATAATTTGATTCTGTACTCACCCGCTATATTCTTCAGCGATATATCGGTTTTGCCTGTTTTAAATGCAAGTACTCGTAAGAATCTATTCTGACCGCGTTCAATCTTATTAATTAAATTAATTTGATATGGATTCCAGATAACTGAGCCATATTCTAATATGGAACGGACTAGAGAGAAATATAATATTTTTAAACAATTTAAACAAATTATTTATCATTATAATCTAAACAATTTTTTTTGGTAATACTCATTTTTAATATACATATCATCTGATATGTATATACATATACATATCAGATGGATATTAAAAGCTCCAAAAATTCACAGTGAATACATTTAATAATAACATTTAAATCATATTTATTATTATTTAATTTTGTAAAATGGTAGATAAGTTAAAAGGAGGCAATAAAATCCCTTTTTTAATCACCTATAGTGTTTGATCTAAGTATAAGAATTGACTATATTTATTAATTTTCTCATATTGTATAAGTGTAAAATCATTACTAGAATAAATTAAAAAAATAATAAAAATATAAAACATTTTTTACCATCACAAACATTGATCTTTTAGTCTGAATGTGTGGAGAAGATGAGTTTTAACAAGATAACGATCGTTAATTTGAATTTTTCGGGTTTAAAAACCATCCTGATTATACATAACTAAAAGAGCAGGAGAAGTAGCAATGCTTGTATTTTGTTGCAAAGAGCTTGAATTGACAATTAGCTTATTTTTTTTTTTTTGTTATCAATGAGACCGTTTCGTTTGTATTATTATGGTTATTTTTGTTTGTCATTGTGCTTCATCGATGATTAGAATACGTACCGCCGTTAGTAGGCAGTCAGTCGGGGAGTAACGTATCTAGTGAAGTAATTATTCTTTAGACTTATTATAGAAAATCAAAAATTACAATTAACACATTAAAAAAATCATTTCAACGTAAAATTAATAATGCACACTTTGATTGGAGTTAAAACTACATAAAATAATATAAAATTAAACAAAACACGTGTATGATTCAGTAAAAAAAATTGAAATATTTCGATATCTGACAATTGCAATAGTGCATTGCTGACAAGAGCAGCAATGCACTATTGCGGTTCGACACGAACTAAACTATTAGAATCGTAAAACATAAAAAAAATATAAACAATTAACAAAAATTAAATAATAAAAAAAACAATACATAACATTAAAAAACACAACACAGGGGAGTCGTGGCACAGTGGTATCGTGGCATAAATGAATAAAGTATAATGATATCTAACAGTGATTAAAATCACTATCATAAAAAACGTTTCGATGCAAATCTTTAGATAATGTTTAATTTTTAAAAAATGGTAGATTATTACAAAAGCTACATGATCTACTATTTCCTTATTTATATCCTGATTAAGATAAAGTATTTCAAATGAAAAAGGGATATAAATATTATTTCTCATGAAAAAATGATATTGATCCCATATATTTTTCAAAAAGTTATAGCATAATAAAGTTAAGAATGTAAAAATAAAATCGAGAATTTCCACACAAAAATAGTATTCAGTAGCCATTTTCACCGTAAAGACACAATAAAGTCCGAAAAATTTGTTTTCTATAATAAAGTATATTATAATATCTTTAATTTATGATATATATAAAAGTGTCAGACTTTCCGGAACACTTTAAAAGTTAAGTTGAAAAAGTTAATATTTTGTCAAAAAGTTGTCATTTTAAATCACCCCCTGTAGTCAGGTAAAGGGTCAGATATAGTGGTGACCACAGTGGTGACGTGGCATAGATGAATCAAGTATAATGATATCTGACAGTGATTAATATCACTATCAAAAAAAAAACGCTTCGATGCAAATCTTTAGATAGTGTTTAATTTAAAAAAATTGGTGTATTATTCCAAAAGCTACATGATCTGCTAGTTCATTATTAATATGAGATGGATATAAATATTACTTCTCATAAAAAAATTGTATTGATCCATACACTTTTCAATATGTCATAGCATTATAAAGTTAAAAATGTAAAAAATAAAATCGAGAATTTTCACACAATAATAACATTTGGTAGCCATTTTCACCGTTAAGACATGATAAAGCATATTACATTAGCTTTAATTTAAGATATATATAAAAGTGTCAGACCTTCCGGAAAACTTTCAAAATTTAAGTTGAAAAAGTAAATTTTTTGTGAAAAAGTTGTCATTTTAAATCCCCCCTTGTAGGCAGGTAAAGGGTCAGATATAAAAAAAATATATACCAAATGATAGGTAAAGACATCATGCATCTATAAAAAAAAAATTATATTGATCCATATATTTTTCAAAAAGCTATAGCATTATAAAGTTATAATTATAAAAAAGAATTTTTTTACAAAAATCGTATTTTTTTTATTAAGTTTGATATAAAGTCCGAAATTTTTTTTAACTATAATAAAGTACCTTACATTAGCTTTATTTTAAGATATATATATAAAAGTGTCAGACTTTCTGGAACACTTTCAAAATTTAAGTTGAAAAAGTTCTATTTTCTACATTTCTTTTTAGATTTGAACCCCCCTCAAATAAAGGGAAATAGTCCGATTTAAAAAAACAGTATGTCGAATGAAAGATGTGTATAAATACAACTTCTCGTGAAAAAATTATGTTGATCCATATATTTTTCAAATAGTTATAGCACTTTAAAGTTAAAAATGTAAAATACAAACTCAAAAATAGCAATCGGTAGCCATTTTCACTGTGAAGATAAAATAAAGTCCGAAATTTTTTATTTCCATAATAAAGTACATTATATTAGCTCCAATTTAAAATATATATAAAAGTGTCAGACCTTCCGGAACATTTTCAAAAGTTAAGTTAAAAAAGTTAATTTTTTGTGAAAAAGTTGTCATTTTAAATCCCCTACTGTGGGCAGGTTAAGTGTCAAATTTAAAAAAAATATATACCAAATGATAGGCAAAGACATCAAACATCTATATAAAATTTTCATTTTTGAAAAAGTTATGGTAGTGTTAAGAAAAAAATGTCAAAAATTACTGATTTTTAAAATTGTAATTATTTTGGAGATATCTCCCACTTATGAGGAATGAAGGAAAATTTTTCAATTTTTGAGGGTAACGTCTTCGACTAGATACGATTTGTGATCTTTTGACGTATCGTTGAAAGAAAAAAATCATATTAATATGATCATTTTTGAAAAAGTTAAAAAGTTATAACAATTAGCGATTTTTAATTTTGTTATTTTTTTGGAGGTATCCCCCATTTACGGGGAACGAGAGAAATTTTTTCAATTTTTGAGGGTTATGTTTTTGACTAGATATGATTTATGATTTTTGTACGTATCATTGAAAGAAATCGGTTTGGTGAGAGCTGAGAAAAAGTGTTTTTCAGACACAAAAAAAAAAATAAATGAACACATCATAGTAAAATTAATACTTTCTCAGCTTCGCATCAAAGCTAAAAAAATTGAAAAAATTGAAAAAATTAGCAATTTTTAAATTTGTAATTAATTTGGAGATTTCCCACTTTTTTGTACATAAAAAATAGGTAGTCGGTACAAATTTTTTTTTTTTTTGGACGAAGTATTCCAGGATCATTTTTAAAATTTAAGTTGAATGCTTTTTTTTGTGTGATAATTCTGGATTTTATTTTTTACATTCTTAACTTTATAATGCTATAACTTATTGAAAAGTGTATGAATTAATACAATTTTTTTAAGAGAAATAATATTTATATACCTCTTTCATTCGAAATATTTTAAATTAAACACTATATAGAGTTTTGCATCGAAGTTTTTTTAATAATAGTGTTTTTAATCATTGTCAGATATCATTCTACTTGATCCAACTATGACACGTCACCACTGTGCCGCGACGCCATGTACTGGGTTTTTTTTATATATTATTATATTTAAAGAGAGTAGAATTTAATTATTTCTAAAAAAGATGTTGTTTAAATTACGTTTACGACGGCATTAACATAAGAGCATTTAAAGAGTATCATAATTATTCAATATTTTACTACAATTATTGTGTATAGATTAAGGGTATAGGAACCTTGAAGTTTTTTAGTTATGATAATATTTCGGTACATATTTTTAATAATTTCTGTTTTTAAAGGGCTTTTAATTTATTTAATTGATTAATATTTGGTTTTGTTTAAATTTTTTTTTTTAATTAAGATTATTTTATTTTGAACCTATTGATATCTATACATTTTTTCTATGGATGTCATTTATAATATAACTAATGCAATTTTGTATAAATGTAAATGTCATTAATTTAACTTAATTAAATATTTTTAATAAAATTTCATCTTACATTACAGGAAAGAAGGAAATTATTATTTAAATACAAATTCAGACTCGCCCTACGGAAAGGTGAGTAAAAATAAGTATTAGAAATTAACGAAATTCTCTAATTTTGTTTAAACATTGTTTAAAATGTTGTATTGAATATATTAAACTTGAATAGAACTTAATTATAATTTTTTTTTTTATTACTAGAAATAAATTAAATTAAATGGAAGTAAAACATAGTTTATTATTTTTGATAAACAGAAAAAGAATATGACATATTGTTTGGGGGTGGACGGTAAACGGTCACCGATAATAATAGAATGAAAGTGAAAGGATCTCGAGGTATATGTGCCTACGGAAGACGTCTGATATACATATATATAATATATGGTTGGGTTGGGTTTATACATGTATATAAATACAAGATAGGAGGGTTTTAAAGGTTTCTGCACAAAAATGTACACATGAATTAATATCAGTTAGGATTATCGTATTTTTTTTATGTAACTGTTTTAGTCAGTTCATTTACCACGACCTATTTCACTCTAATTGTTTATTACTAAACATCTTTTGGTGAAGGTACTATTATAGATTTATTATATGAATACATTTTTTCAGTTACCTCAAATTATCTTGATATGACAAATATTCGGATGCGATGAATTATACATAGTCAGGAAACGGGTTTCTATTGTTCTCATTGTTACAAACAATGAGAACAATAGAAACCCGTTTCCTGACTTACTGAACACTCTGTATAGTTGATGTCACCTTTAGCGATATGTATGTATATGCGTTTTAACAAATCGGCAATCATACTTTGCTACCGGCAATTGAAAAAATTGGGTATTTAAGCTAGTTCAAATTTCAAAGATATTTTTCTCGACTTAAAAGAAGCAAACAAATTTAAATAAGTTTAACTTTCTATGCTATATTAATTTTAATTTATATAATATTTATGAAAATCTGTACTCCCCTAGTCAGGTATTTTAAAATAAAANGAAAATCTGTACTCCCCTTGTCAGGTATTTTAAAATAAAATAAAATACAAAACCCAGAATTTTAACACAAAAATAGCAAATTTTTGAATACGGTAGTCATTTTTACCATGAAGACAAATCCAGAGGTCAAATTTTTTTTTTTCACATTAAAGTATATTACATAAGCTTTAATTTAAGATATATTTAAAAGTGTCAGTATTTCCGGAATACTTTCAAAAATTAAATTGAAAATATCGTAGTAACAATACGCATGTTTAAAGTTTTGACCCCCCTTGTTAAAGGGGTATGATCCGATTTACAAAAAAAGCGTGCCAGATGAAAGGGGTATATCAATATTTATTATAAAAAAATAATAATATTGATCCATACATTTTTCCAAAAGTTATATAAAATATAAATTAAATAATATAACATATAAAATCGAGATTTTTTTCACGGAAATCGTACGTTTTTCTTTAACTTTGATGTCCATTTTCACCACGAAGACAAGTCCAGAGGTCAAATTTTTTTTTTTCAAATTAAAGTATATTACATAAGCTTTAATTTAAGATATATATAAAAGTGTCAGTCTTTCCGGAACATTTTCAAAAATTAAGTTGAAAAAGTTCTACTTTCTATACGCATTTTAAAAGGTTTGCACTCCCTCTGTATAAAGGGAAAAGGTCCGATTTAAAAAAAAAGTATATCGAATGAAAGAGGTATATATAAAGTATTTAATGTTAAAGAATAGAATTGATTCATGCATTTTTTAAAAAGTTATAGCATCATAATGTGTTATTATATTTTTCACAAAAATAGCATATTTTTGCATACGGTAGTCATTTTCACCATGAAGACAAGTCCAGAGGTCAAATTTTTTTTTTTCAAATTAAAGTATATTACATTAGCTTTAATTTAAGATATATATAAAAGTGTCAGTCTTTCCGGAACATTTTCAAAAGTTATGTTGAAAAAGTTAATTTTTTGTGAAAAAGTTGTCATTTTGAATCCCCTTCTGTGGGCAGGGAAAGGATCAAATTTATAAAAAAAATATATAAAATGATAGGAAAATATCTAAGGTATCTATAAAAAAAAAAGTTATATTGATTTGGTTATTTTTAAAAATGTTATGGCAATTTTAAGTAAAAAAAATTGAAAAAATATCGAAAATTAGCGATTTTTAAATTTGTAATTTTTTGGGGGATTTCCCCCGTTTACGGGGAACGAGGGAATTTTTTTCAATTTTTGAGGGTAATGTCTTCGACTAGATACGATTTGTGATCTTTTGACATATTGTTCATCAAAATCGGTCCAGCGAGAGCTGAGATTGAGCGTTCACAGACACAAAAAAAAAAAAAAAAAAAAAAAAAAACACATCATAGTAAAATTAATACCTTCTCAGCTTCGCATCGAAGCTAAAATTAATAAAGAAAAAAACACATCATAATAAAACTTATTTCCTCGTTGTGTACTCATTGTTATAATTATAATTATATAGATAATAATACAAATAAATATATTAAATAGTAAAACCACACAAAAGGGCACCTTAGACTCTAGTGAAAATATGAATTGTGATTATGACACAGGTAAGATATTTTATTTAGTTGGATATTTTTACATTAATAGGTTTTAAAAATAACACAAAAATACAAAATAGGCATGATAATTCGTATTACAATAAGATGTAAACATAGCTAATACATCCTGTTTTTAATGCAATTCCAAATATTATCCTAGTGCCGAGATATCGTATTATTAAATCGTACTCTTTTACGTGGTCTATAGTACAATTGTTTTACGATCTCTCAAAAAGTGTTAAATTTTATTTTTAATCGTGTTAAGTTTGTAGGGTTACATGAATTCATGAAATTAGGCTTGTCAGAATCTATCATTTAAGTAAAAATGACCCATACTAATTATACAACTAAATTATATCTCTAGCTATATATATATATACAGAGTGGCCCACCACTCACTGACAACTTAAATAACTTTTGATCCAGTTAATATTTTTAGTTGATTTTTTTTTTAAATAATAGTTATACGTTAAGTCTATAGATATATCTCAATAATTAATTTTTTTATATTTTATTAAAAATATTAATTATTTTAAAATTTTAAATAAAATGTAAAAAAAAAATCTAAGATAGCTATTTTGTAGAGTAGAATTTAAGAAAAATTTTAGTAAAAAAATATCTTATTAATATTCAGTAGTAAATATTCTGTAGCGTTTTGAAGTT